CCCTCCTAGAGCTGCTGCCAACCCCGCTGGATGTCTCCCCGGCGAGAGACCGGAGCCCTGGCCACAGCAAAGGAAACACAGGTTCGAGTCCATCATGTGCACACTCATATGATGGTGAATTACAGAGGCTTGGCTTTGCTCTGCTCTGAGTAAACCAGGGATGCTTAGACATTGTATCATAGCAGGGTGCAGGGCATGTTTACTCCTCTCTGTCTACAAAGCCCTCCGCAGACTTCCCCCAACCTCTTCCCCTCCCTGGTCGTAAGGCATCATCCTTGTCTTTGTCCCTTCATCACTGGTGCAAGGGCCTTCTCCTCTGCATCCCTCACCTTCGGCGAGATGAACAGCCTCCATCTTGCCAAATCCACCGCTCATTTCGACTGAGACACGAGACAGGATGTCTTTCCACCAGTTGTTGGGCTCAGCATAGGAGCGGCTGAGCGCAATCTTCCAGCCTTGTATTAGCCAGACTAGATGACCACAGTGATCCTTCCTGACATTAAAAATCCACAATGCAAATTTAGAGGATAAACTCTTTGGAGCCGGGACTGTCGTTCTGTACAGCACCTCGCACCATGGGGTCAGGATCCATGACTGGGGCTCCTGGGTGCTATGGCTGTACAAATAATAAAATGCAAATATCTTTCCTCCCTCCTTTCTTGCCTTTTTCCCCTCCTTCTCTACTGCTGTTTGGCTTTGCATACTGTATAAATAACTGGCAATCAGTCGCCACTGTACATTGCTTTGCAATAGTTTGGCTGTAAACTACTCTCCAACGGGGTGCTGTATTTTACTATATATAATGGGTCTGCTTCAAAGGCACCTTAGCTAGGTACCACTTATTGCCCAGGTGTTACTCTGTTGTAAATAGCAATGATCTCTCCTGTCTGTAACCTCTGCTGCATGCAAGATGCTCCTGGTCAGTTGATATAAGGGAGCCCCGGTTAGTGTGAGAAGGTCTAATTTACACCACCTCTGAGTCTGGCCCTTGGCCATGTGGATTATGGAAAGCCAGGGGCTGCTGATTTCATGATTCCCCCCTCCCGTTTCCTGGGTCACAGTGGGGCCAGTGCAGACTTCCACTGGCTTAAGACCAGGCCCTGAAATCATGAGCCTTCAACACTCAGCTAAAGGAGTAACTCCCTTAGCTGGAAGCTGTAGTAGACTCTTAACCACTTCTCTGGGTCAGCCACTGCAAGAAGACAGAGACCCACACTCCTCTACTGTGGGTACACCACTCTTAGGCCACCCACTAGATGGGGCTGTGAAGCCTTCCTTCTGAGTCATCACTAGCACTAGATAAAGGGGACTAGGGTAAAGGATCGGAGGGTGGAACAGACACCTATGAGGAAGGAGTGGGCTGAGGTGGTATCTCATTCTTGAGTACTCAGTGGAAACAGTTACCAACAGAGTAACCAAATCCTGCAGGAAAAACCTCAGTGGGAAACTCAACTGAGTGAGGACCCCAGTGGTCCCATATAAACAAGTAGAGGTGCAGGATCAGGGCCTTAGATTGTGAGCTCTTCGGGGCAGGGACTATGTCTTACCGTGTGTACGTACAGCTCCTAGCACAATGGGCCTCTGATCTCACTTGGAGCCTTGAGCTGTGACCGTAACACGAATAATAAAGTTAGCAATAGCTGTTTTTTCATTCTCAAAGTGGCATTCGCAGTAACATCTGCTTTAAATTCACATTCTTTTGGTTGCCGTTTCTTGCTGTAAAATATTATTATGAATAAATATTTATTTATTTATCTATGAGGCACTAAATCCAGGTGAAATTCACCCCCATGCGTGGGATCTATGCACTACCATGTCCTGGTGAAATCCACCACTTACGTCCTACTTAACCCCCTTAGGTGCATGACCCTTTGCACAGGGGCAATTTTTACCCACAGAGAAAATAGAGAAAATAAAAATCTACCCTCAGCTGATTTGATCGTGTTTTTCACCTGCTTTGCACTGGTGTGAATGATTGCACATGATGCAGGATGATGGTGCATCAGGCTCTGTAGCATGGTGGTGCGCTCACCGGCATGGTACCTCCTGCTGGTTGGTCTGGGAATTAGCTCTTTCAGCTTCCCAGTGCCTCATGCTAACCAGTGTCTCACTTGGTGCCACCTGCTTCTCCCTTTCTTCAGGTAGCATCCTTTAGTTCAGGCCCCACGTCTCTCCCGGCCCACAGTGCCCCTTCTGTAGGGTACTACCCTGCACCAATGCCCCCACACCAAGGAATACTCCCCAGGGAACCCCAATTCCCCAACTCCACCTTGCCTCAGTGACCGACTGCCAGTATTCATCTAGCCCCTTTTCTCAGGGGCAAACTGCAGTCTGAAATGACCGCTCATCATTGGCAAGGGGCTTGGACCTGCTGTCTTTTCCTGGCCTCGCTGCAGCCTCAGTACCCCCACAGGCCCTTTTAGCACAGCCTCAGCCTGGGGACTCACCTGACCAGAGTCCCCCAGCACTGCTCTGTTTGAGATACCCTTCTCTAGCCAGGTCCTTCCCGCTCCGCTACTGGAGTGAGACTACCCCTACCTAGCTCCCAGCCCTTTTATCAGGGCCAGCTGGACCCTAATTGGGTGTGGCCTCATCTGCACTGCCTACCCCATCAGCCTCCCTCGGCTGCTTTCAGCCCCAGGCCTCTCCAAGGGCCGGCTTTTAACTCTTTCCAAGCTGGAGCAGGGTGACTGCCCCCCTACAGGCTCTAACTGCTCATTGACTTGTTTAAGAACCTTAACATTTCATGCATAAAGGCCCCAGTCCTGCAAACGCTTAAACACATCTGTGAATTTACTTGCATGAATGATCCCATGGACTTTAATGGGAGAGGGAACATCCTCATTTGAATTCTCTCCTAAGGCCATGATTAAAGGATCTCGCTCCTAGAACGAAGGAGTTTCGCTCTCTGTGGCTTAGCGGTGGTTAGAAACCATAGAATTGGGATTTTTGAACCCTTGCACCCTCCAAGGTTCCAGAAGGTTTGGATTCAGATGATTAGCTCTTAGGTCATCACAAGTTGTTATTTCATAAGACGTTCGGGGCCTGAACCGAAACAGTCCATTGAAGCCAATTGGTTTCAGTACATCAGGCCCAGTCATCTCAGTGTCAGCTAACATAAATACAAGAAAAAAAAGTTTTACAAAACCTAAATTAACAGAGAATTTATTTTTATTTGCATAACTTCTATTGTGCTTGGATGTGAACAGTCCCCTGCAACTGAAACACTGCAGCCTTTTCCTACAGCCTGTGGGAGGGAGGGAGGTGAAACTGACAAGACATTGGCTAGAAACAAAAGTGAAACTGATTAAGCCCCTGATATGGGATCCCAGTAGAAGATCTGGAGTCCCATTGACATCACAAAGGTGTCCTGCACAAAACAAGTTGCAGAAATGGTCTCCTAAAGCCCAATCCTAACCTTGTAATTAAGAGATTGACCTGGGACTCAGGTGATGTAGGGTCAAGGCCTAACTCTGACACTTTCTCCCTGGGTGACCTTGGGAAAATCACTTAAGCTCTCTGTGCTTCAGCTCCCTTCTGTAAAATGGGAAGAGTGGGCCACGGTGTGTCTCTGACTATGCATCTAGCAAGCACCCAACACAATGCAGCCCTGATCTGAGTCAGGGCCTCTATGTGCTACCTTGATACAAATGATAATAATTAGTTCTATCCATGCACAGCCTCACCACCATAGGATCTGCCTGCAGCAACAGGGCCTTAATCTGTTTCCATTTGCCCTGATGAGTGAAGTGCAAGATAATAAAGCAAACCACATCTGCGGTGGAAAGTGAATTAGATGGTTTTACAACTCTGTTTGAATAATCTGAAGCATTACTGGCACCCAGGTATAGGATATTTGTGGCTTTTATTTACTGCATCATTTTTGTAACCCTGACAATGTCCCCTTTCACATTTCAATCAGGCGCTCTAGAAATATTTTTTCATTTGCTCAGAAGGTCACTGCCTGAGTCAAACCCCAGTTTAAGCACACACAAGATGCCAAGCCTTAAGACACCTGCCCTTTAAAGGGTCACGCGTATATTCCACTGGGTCTTTATTGCTTTTTCTTATCACTCCAGCACATACAATCCCCCTTGCACCTTCTGAGAGTGTTACACGTGCTGAACCTCACAAGCCCTGAGTGTCTTGTAGGGGTTTCATAGTCTAGGGTGGACAGGTTCCGATATTCAGACGGCTTAGAATATCCAGAGGCAGGCGAGCTGGCATAGCCAGATGTTGTGGGGTTTGCATTGCCAGATGTGGTGTGGTTTTTGTACCCACGGGCAGCAGGGTTCCCATACCCAGAGGAGGTTGCATACCCAGAGAGACCAGGGCTTGCATAGTCAGGTGTGTTTGTATTCCTGGCAGCAGGGGAGCTTGCATATCCAGAGGCAAAGGAACTGGTATATTCAGAAGTAGATCCATATGCTGAGGTTGAGGGACTGGCATATTCAGAAGGGCTGGTATATTCAGAGGCAGAGAGGCTGGTATATTCAGAAGGGCTGGTATATTCAGAGGTGGAGAGGCTGGTATATTCAGAGGGGCTGGTAGATTCAGAGGCGGAGAGGCTGGTATATTCAGAGGGGCTGGTAGATTCAGAGGCGGAGAGGCTGGTATATTCAGAGGGGCCGGTAGATTCAGAGGGGCTGGTAGATTCAGAGGCGGAGGGGCTGGTATATTCAGAGGGGCTGGTAGATTCAGAGGCGGAGAGGCTGGTATATTCAGAGGGGCTGGTAGATTCGGAGGGGCCGGTAGATTCGGAGGGGCTGGTCGATCCAGGGGAAGACGGGGCGCGCTCCCCAGCGCGGCGAGCAGGGGCTGAGCTGGCTGCCGCCGGTGCCCGTCTCTTCGGCGGGCTGTGCGGAGCCCGAGGGGGCTGCATGGCCCCGGGGGGGCTGGCACAGCTGAGCCCGGCGCCGGCGGGGTGCAGGGAGCCGGAGGAGAGGCCTGGCTCCAGCCCGGGATCCACCCCCCGCGCCGGGGCGCCTGTGCGCAGCGCCTGCTCCGTGCGCTCCGGGGCGGAGCGAGGTTGGCCGGCTGCAGCCAGAGCTGGTCCCGGGCGGCCCCCCGCTGGATGTCGGGGCTCAGGGCGTTGCTGGGACTCGGCCTGCTGGTCTCGTCGGGCTCCCGGCTGGTGGCGGCGGCGGGCGGGGGGCGCTGCCCGGTCCCGCGGTGGCCTCCTGCGGCGGCGGGGGCCTGGGGCAGGGGCGCAGGCCGGGGGCGCAGCAGCAGCGCCATGCAGAACCCGGGGCGCAGCGGGCTCAAGTACCTCAGGTAGCCCCCTGGCCCTGCCTTTGCGGGGGGGCTGCCAAGAGGCGGGGCTGGGGGAGAGGGGGAAATGGGGGGGGACGCTGGGAGGAGATAGGAAATGAGGAGGGGGCTGCAGGGGCGGAGGGGAAAGGGGGGTTGCGGGGGGAAATGGGGGCTGTGGGGGAGGAGGGGGGAAATTGGGGGGCTGCAGGGGGAAATGGGGAGGGGGAGGGGGGTGCTGCAGGGCACCAGGAGAGGAGCTGAGGGAGGTGGCCGGACAGCAGGGGATGGGGAAAGGAGGGAGGGTAGTGGGGGTTGGGTAGTGGGGGTTCTGCAGGGACCTGGGGCACCTTTTGGGGATGGGGAATAGCCCATTTATCAGGGACTGAGGGGAGGGGGACTGGGTGTCTATAGGTGGTTGCTCGGCGGAGGGAAAAAGTCTTAAAATTTAATTAAAAATATGGAGAACGAGAGGATGAAAACACCCCTCTTGGCATCTATGCAGTGTGATTCTCTCTCCCTCCTCCCCCCTGGGCCCTGAGTAACCCCCCCTCCCTGCCTTTTTAAATTGCCTTTGACTTTGCTTTTACAGTTTGGTAAAACAAACTCCCAGCCCTGAGGCACTGAAGCTCCCTGCAGATCAGTGGCCCGACTTCAGCACTGGGGGTAAAGAGAATGCCTAGACTAGTCCCTCTGACCTTTGGTGGCTTCATCACCTGAGAGGGGTGGCAATGCCCCTTGAGACAGTGGGTCCCTGGAGCAACTTATTGCTGTTATGAGAGGGAATGTAGAAGCTGGCCAGCCGGGTAACCGGAGCAGCACCTGGATCTCGGCGGGGTTGGGACGGGATTCGACGCACACCCCAGTACATGTGGCATTTAGCACGGGCATTCCACCATCTTCTGAAGCTCAACCATTGCCCGGGACAGGATGCTGGGCCTGTTGATCCGATTTCCAGATAGTCGAGTGGTCAGGGCTGGCAGGGCCAGAGATAGGTGGCCGGAATGGCTGGATCAGTGATTATGACACGGTGAGGCTGGAGATGCGATACTCCATGAGCATCGGTGAATCAGCGCTCTGATCTGGTGTGGCAAATCCGGTGTCCTGTGAAGGAAACGGATGTGTGTGTTCACGCAGGGGTTGTTAATTAGAGTCGGTCAATACCTGGAATTTGCATCCCACGGGAAATGCCAAGACTTCATTTTTACCCCAAATAGAAATCTTGGCCTTTTTTTGCAAAATGAAATATTCTGAAATATTTCCTGTGGCCTTCCTTGAAACATTTTGTGTTCCCACAAACATTTGATTCAATGTGTACGTTTTCATATAAAAGTGGAAAGGGTAAAGTTAAAAGGAAATGCTTTGATCACTTCCCAGCCAAAATATCAGCGTTGGTACGTTCCCACAGAATGCTCCAGTGTCTCCGAATCAGCATTTTTCCCAACAGAAAAATGTTCTGTTGGAAAATTTCCAACCAGCTCTGTTATTCCTATGGGCCTCCAATCTCAGCAAGAGCCAGTCAGGAAACCCTAGGCACACCCCAGCACTGTCAAGATGTTTGATGGTGGAGCTCTTGATGAAGATAGGCATGATGTTAAACAGGAGAGATTGCGAGTGAGCCAGGGATGGTGGACGATACTTGTGGTGATCGGGAGATTAGTGAGCCAGGGATGGTGGACGATACTTGTGGTGATCGGGAGATTAGTGAGCCAGGGATGGTGGACGATACTTGTGGTGATCGGGAGATTAGAGCCGTTACATGTGTAACTTAAGGCCTGGCTTCGCTGCAGAATGATCAGGAGTGATCTATGACTCTTCTCGAGTCAGCCTAGCTCAAGCGAGAGCAGCCACAGTGCAAAATTACCCTTGCGTTGCGATGCCCATGCGGGCGCTGCACTCACTCATGGGGGATGTAAAGTCTTCGGGGCTCCTTAGTGCTGCAGGAAGCTGAGCTAATGCTTTCCCAGTGAGTGGTGGGAGATCTTGCCTGTCCTTTCGGGCGGTGTGGGGGGGAATTGCGGGACGGTACTGGAGGACGAGCTGCTCTCGAGTGGCGGTGTGAGCCGGGTGCTCATGTCAGCTGCTGAGAGGCAGCACCTGTGCTAACTGCAGCGAAGACAAGTCCTTCGATCGCATGGGCTCAGCGGCTCATGTCGTTTGCTTCTCCTCTCAGCCAGGAGGAAGCCCAAGCCATCGATCAAGAGCTCTTCACGGAGTACAAGTTCAGCGTCGACCAACTCATGGAGCTGGCGGGGCTGAGCTGTGCAACGGCCATTGCCAAGGTGAGCACTGGGTCCTAGTGCTTTTGCACACCTGGGGTCCCCCTGCTCTCGGAGAGCCCTTCCCGACCGGATCCAGCCATGACCTTCTGGGGAGGGGAGGGAGCTCCGTGCAGGGCCTAATGGCAGCGGCGTGGCCCTTGCAGCTCCTGCAAGTGATCGTTTCAGGGGACCCGCGGTTGCAAGCGAGGTTCTTAGATCAGTTTGCCCTGGGAAGCAGCTTCCCGGGGTTTATAAGGTTGTATCTGCCACCCCCGAAGCACAAGACTGTACACAGAAGGATCCTCTCTCTCTCTTTCTCACACACATGCGCATGCACGCCACTGTAATGCAGCCACCTCTGGGGTGGAGGCCGCCAGCTAGGCAGAGAGCAGGAGGCAGCATGCCAGCGTGCATTGTTAGCCAGGCTGATGGCAAGCAGCGCAGATACCTTGGAGGTGGCTAATTTGCTTGTTGTGCTGGTTAACCAAAGCCTGTTCTTTTCTCCCCCCCCACAGGCCTACCCGCCCAGCTCCTTCACCCAAAGCCCGCCCACGGTGCTGATCGTCTGTGGCCCGGGGAATAACGGAGGGGACGGCTTGGTCTGTGCCAGGCACCTGAAAATGTTTGTGAGTAGTGCTGGCAAAATGTGCCAGCCCTGGAGGCTTAAGTCCCCTCTGCCCAGAGCAGATACAGCAAAGGCAGCAGCCGCCGAGCAATACGCTCACGCAGGAGTGAGCCAGACGATGCCTGGGAGCCTCCCTGGTCCATTCAGATCTTAGCTCTTGGGCTGAGATGCTCCACAGGGGGCCCGTTCCTTTGGGACGGCCCAGCCTCCCTTCCTCACATACGGATTTTTCAGTGACCAGCCCTGGGTGAAGCTCTGCCGACGAGCTGTGGCAGGTGCAGCTGTTTTCCTCGGCCCTGGGCACAAGGGAGTAGCTCTGGACGGGAGAAGGAACTAGGGAACTGGGAGGGAGGAGGTGCTTAGGGGAACCATAGGGACAGAGAGGAGGCTGAAGTGTGTAGTGTTTGTTTGACCTGGTACTTGCAAGCCCCAGGCAGGTGACGCTAGCTGTGGGTCTATGCTGGGACTGCCTGGTGACCATATTGGAACATCGCTCGGAATTGTTCTGTCCCTGCAGGGCTACGAGCCGACTGTGTATTACCCCAAGCGGCCTGGTAAAGCTCTGTTTGAAGGGTTGACGACTCAGTGCCAGAAGATGGACATTCCCTTACTCTCGGAGTTCCCATCGGAGGTAGGGCGCGTCACCGTAGCTGGTAGACCTAGAATATCCAGCATTGTTACTTTTGTGCTGTCTTGGTACATTTCACGGCTTCGGTTGTATATATCTCACCGCACAAAATAGGGGCGAGAGGCTCACGTGCCAGACGCAGACCAAGAGTTCCTTTCCTCGTCCCGGTTAGATTCCGAAGGGACTATTGTGATGGCCTAGTCTGACTTCCTGTGGCGAGGTTTAACCATTAATATTCACCAAGTGCTTTGGGATCTCAAGGAAGAAGGGGAAGCGAGGTATCAAAGGGGAAAGGCTACAGGATGGAGCGTTGTTTTGTCCTGGGTTTGTACAGCACCTAGCACGCTGGGGAGCTGCTCCATGACAGGGCCCTCAGGTGCCACTGCAGTACCAATAAATCCAATTAAAGTGGAAACGAGCAACGTGGGTTTATTGCTTGTTTATGGGCATCTCTGTGGTGCTTATCACCGCAGCGTCTGGGCATCCCCTGCATTAGGTGACAAATGTGCCTGGTGCTGCTACCGAATTATCTGGAGAACGGGGAGGGTGTTTGTAAGTGACTGTGCCATAGTCTGCTCTGTTATGCTGGTGTAAATCAGGAGTCACTCCACTGAAGTCAGTGCGCATAGACTCGTGTAGCCGTGTTCTCCTCCTACAAAGGTACAGGGCTTGATCCTCCTCTCCCGTACACCAGTCTAACTTCACTGGAGCGACTCCTGCTTTACACACGTTTGAGGTTAGAATAAGGCCCTTTGTATTTAGCTTGTCACCCCAGATTTACCTGGTTTGAGCTCGGCCACCCATGTAAATCCATGGAGTTACTCCAGATTTATGCCGGTCTGAGACCAGGATCTGGCCCAGCTGGAGATGCTGGAACTTGAGGATATTCTTGGCCTAGATGTACCCTGTAGTGTGTATGTGCCGGGGTGGGTGTGTGGGATCCTGCTGTTATAATCTCCTGACCCCCATTTGCTGGCAGGCCATGCTGATTGATGAGCTGTATGGCTTGGTGGTGGATGCTATTTTCGGGTTCAGTTTCAAGGGAGCTGTGCGGGAACCTTTCGGCAGCATCCTCAGGACCTTGGAGCAAGTCACCGTACCCATCGCCAGCATCGACATCCCCTCCGGTTCGTTCCGTCCCACCCCGGCGCTGTCCAAGCTCTTTGGCATCCATTCACTTTTCTCTCTTGATCACATTGGCTGCATCAGCATGGTTATGTTCCTAGTGGGCCTCTAAGGTCCTGGGGACATGCTGAGCTTTGCAGCGATGTCAGTGGTTGGGACAGCAACAGACCTGCTGGGTTATCCCAGGCTTCTGCTGTGAAGATTTGTACTATCGATTTAAACTCACTGGGCCACCCAAATCCCAGTCCTCAGCTGTGGCCAGTGCCTGAGGCTTCTGGGGAAGGTTATTGTCTCTACCCCAGTAATACACTTGGTCGATGGGCAGTGCTGGTAGGGCAGGGAAAGTGAGAATTCCTTCTCGACCCTTGCCAGCTTGTGCCCTGTGAGTGAATTCACAAGCTGGCTTTATGTTGCGTCAGCTGGTATTTGCTTTGTCAGCCGTCTTGTTCGTCAGCGTTAGGTTATTGTGCTGAACTGGGACACAGGAAAAGTGGGTTCGAGTCCCAGCTCCATGTGACCATGGGCAGATCTCTCTGTGCCTCGATTCCCCAGCTATAAAATAGGGGTAAATACTTTTTCTCCCCCACACTCTTCTGCAGCACCTAGCACAGTGGGGCCCTGATCTCAGCTGGGGTTTCTAGGTGCTCCCGTAATACACAGAAGAGACATTCTGGGAGCTGTTACACCACTGGGGATTGGAGGGCCACCGAGAGAGAACTGAGCCTTGCATATTCAGTGGGGAACTAGTAACTCCCTTATGATTCACGCCGGGGAAGCTCTTCAGACATGGGAGGGAGTTTGCCTGGAGTGGGAATGACTTGGCTCTAACTACCTCCCCCTTGGTTTATTTCAGGCTGGGACGTGGAGAAAGGCAACCCGGACAGCATCCAGCCCGACATGCTCATTTCTCTCACCGCCCCCAAGAAGGCCGCGCAGCATTTTGCTGGCCGCTATCACTTCCTGGGGGGCAGGTTTGTGCCAATGGCTCTGCAGCAAAAATACTCGCTTAATCTGCCGCCGTACCCCGAGACTGACTGCGTCCTGCAGTTACCCTAGCAGGGGCCAGGCAGGATTGGCGTTATCCAAAACCTGAATGAGAGGCGGGGATTTGATTGTGAAGCAGAGACGAGTCCTGCCCAGTATTTGACTGAATCAAGTAGGTGCGGGGGGGGGCATTGCTGGTTAGTAGGGGAGGGGCCTAGCTGTGCGGAAGGCCCCTCCCCTACTAAAGCAGGGCCTGGTTCTGCAAAGTGCCTTTGACATGCACTGATCTCACAGGTTGGGGGCGCTCAGCACCTTGTTTGGTGCTAGGAAGTCCCTGGCATAGCTCTGCCTGGCGCATGTGAAGTCAGCTGTGGTCGGCCCATGGGCACTGGGGATTGTGCTTGGTCTGACCCAGTGCCCTTTGCAGTCAGTGGGAGGCTTTCCACGGGCTTTGGATCAGAACCGAAGGGTTAAAGTTCATTAAAGGGGGGGTTGTATTTGTTGGGAGTTACACAGGGGTCTAGAAGCGGAGCTACACACGGAAGGGCCTGCGTTCCACGGGCTTTACAGCTGTAGCCGCTTCTGATGTGTGTAAAAAATCCACCTTGTTTTTTCTCTGCAATAAAAATTTATTGACACTAAAAATCTCTCTGAATTGGCCTTTCCTTCCCTCTCTTCCCATCCATTCTTATGCAACTGCCCCATGCTGCAAACATACAGTGGGCGAAACCCTGGCCCCGTGAAGTCCGTGGCAAAACTCCCACCACACCTCCTGATGCTTCAACCTCTGATGGGAAGCAACAGCCAGAAATGGGATTTCTAATGACACAAAAGCTGGAGAATTGAGTTATTCCCCAGTGGTGTGATCAGCTGATTCCCTTGCAAGGCAGAGCTGTGATCAGTGCTGTGAGTGGTATGTTTAGTCTCCTCTTGGCTCCGCCTTGTCCGGGGTCAAAGGGTTTGTCTACACAGCAGGTTATTGTGTGGCAAGCCCGGGTGTGAAGCTGCTGCAATGCACTGAAAGTGCCTCACGCAATAACCTGCCGTGTGGACAAGTCCTAAGAGCATCTGCTTCCAGCTGAGCTCCAGCAGCACCAGGGGCATCCTCAGGGTTAGATCCTGGAGGAGAAAAATCCCACCCCGGCTGTAAACACAGTGGCTCTTTTCAAGCAGTCGGGACACTAGCCATGTCTTTCCACCCATGTACTTGTGCGCAGAGCGGCCCCCTTGGGTAAGAGGGCCGGCCCGTTAACCCTGCAGCCAAAGCATGGTGGGGAAAGTGAGCTAGAGAGCGGCTGCGGAGTGACTGGGAAGAGGCCCCGCAGCAGGAAGGGCCTCTGTGTGGCGGGTCCAGAGCAGCCCTGAGGGTAGCACCCCCCTCAAACAGGATGAGCCCTCGTTCACTGCACCTTCCCCTTCTTTTTCTTCTTTTTGGCCCTTTCTGCCGCCATCAGCTGCTCCCTTGAGTCCGGCAACTCGCTCTCCAAACCCTCCGTCACCTCCTCCTTCTCTTTCTTTTTCTTTTTCCTGGCCCGCCTCCCCTCCTCCTCCTGCCCTGGTTCTGGCCTCCCATGCACCTTGGCCCAGCCCCCCCTCTCTTTGGATCTCTTCCGCTTTTTCTTCTTGGCTTTCTGCCGCCTCTCAGCCGGTTTGCTGCTTCCCAGGGCCGAGGCACCCGCCACTACCTCCTGCTGATGCTGTGGGACGTCGCCTCTCCCCTCCTCCTGGCTGTCGTTAGCCAGGAAGGCTCGCTCTTGCGCCTCGAGCCGGGCCAGCTTGGCACTCATGGTCAGACCGTGACGGGCTCCCCTGGGAAGAACACACCAGACAGGGCAGGTTAACGACAGCCTGAGAAGAGATCGTGCCTAGGCCAGGGAGACCTGCGACCACCCTCTCATAAGTCACCCCTGCAATGTCTCCTCCCTGCTTCCAATACAGTTGCATCCGACAGACGCAGCTGGATACTGGCTGGTGTCTTAGGATGCTGGGGACTAGCCAGTTTCCTAGTGCTTGTGGCAGCCACAAGGGGGTGCATGAGCCACACCCCCCCCTTCCTTGGGCCTGAAGTGGACTCCAGTTATCCCCCTCCTCCAACTCACGGGTCAGGCTAGCAAAGCAGGAGTGAGGACCAGTTCTGGAGACAGGGCTATGCCTGGAGCGGGGGTAGGCTGTCTCCAGCTTCGGGACTGGAGGGGCAGCCTGGCGGTGCTCAACAGAAGCAGCAGGAGCTGGGGGACAAACTTACTCTGATCAATGATGGGTGCTGGGGCCAAGTGTCGGAGGGGTTAGAACAGGCTTCCTCATTAGCAGGGAGCTGGGGCAGCGTGCCACCAGGGGACAGAGCACAGGGTCTGAGCTCCAGCCCCACAGTCCCACCGCACTCAGAGGCGGGGATGGGTTCCTGAGATGTGGAATCAAACAGAACCAGCCCCCCAGCTCCGCCTGCTCTGGATAGTCCCCCAGCCCAGGACGCTACAGTCTAGGAGCCTTAAAAGTCCACCTGAGCTGCGGGAAAGGCCGGTCATTTAGTGGAACTCCCACCATGCTGGATAAATAGAAGGCACCGGGGCTGGAAGGGATCCTGGTGCAATTGGGGGAGGAGGTGGCGTTCCGAGCCGGCACTAGCCATGTCATTCCGCCCACTTACTTGTGCGCAGTGCGGCCGCCACAGGCTCGGACCAGCTCCTCATCCGTCAGCCTGGGGGAAAGAGACAAGACAGCTTCCTGCAGGGACCCATCGGGTGCTAACTGCTAGTGTTTCTGTAAGCCGAGCTCTCTCCAAGGTGTAAGGCAACAGCAGGGGAGAGATCCCACCAGCGGAAACCAGGCGTTTCCAGTTTTCCAGGTGTCCCCAGGACTGAATGAATTAGTCAGAGGCTGGCTGGCGAGTGGGGAAGGCTGTCCCACTTCAGCCAGCACCGGAGCTGGGGTGGGAGTAAACAGGGCACGCCCCCCAGTGCTGTTCTATTCAGCGGGCCCATGGGCTCACACTCGTGTCCTACCCCGCCCCTACCGCAGGGGGCACTAGGCAGAAAGAGACAGCTGCCCATCTATGCCTCACAGTGTTTGCAAGAGGAGAACTGGCCATTTCGCTCCTAGTGTGCCACCGAGAAGCCAAGTCCACCGCTCCCCTGGAGAAAGGGTTCACTCCCCGAGCAAACCCTGAGCTGTCCAGCAAGTCGGGGTGGGGGTGAAGACCTATCAGGGATCTTGCATGCGGCACAAGGATTCCTCCTGCACTGCTGGGGACAGATGCGGGGGGGGGAACGACAGCTCTGAGACAATGGAGATCAACTAGCCATGGGATGATACAGCAGTCACAGGGACTACTGCAGAATCAGATCACAGAGTAGGACTGCCCCTCCCCCACCTCCTTGGAGTACAGTCTGTTCTCACAGGATCTGGCCCTCTGAGCAGAGGTGTGTCCCGTGGCTGGTGGCCCAGCCCAGCAGCTCAGAACAGCCTCTCACTACCCCCACACCCGGCTGGGCACTTACTTCCTAGCACTAGACAGGTCCAATTTCTCCTCCTCGTCCTCGCTCCTCTCAGAGGTGGCAACCTGCTTCGTTGGCTCCTCCCCTCCTGCCGTCAGCGTGGCTGCCTGGGACGGAGACAGGTGCAGTCAGAAATCAGTGTGCTGGAGATACACCCACCAGCCCACAGGCCGGGCTGCAGGTGTAGGGAAAGCGGGTGGGGGAGCAGGGACTACGTTAGTCCAGAGAGGCAGCGTTGCAGATTAGACTGAAAGTCAGGACTCCGGGGTTCTATCCCCAGCTCTGCCTCTCTGGGGAGCCTTGGACAAGTGACGGTCTCTTTCTGGGCCTCAGTTTCTCCATCCCCACATCTATGCACAATTCAAGGAGGAGGATGAGAAACTGGAGAGGGTTCAGAGAAGAGCCGCAAGAATGATTAAAGGATTAGAAAATGTCCCATATAGCGATTGAGCTGCTTGAGTCTACCTATTTAGCTTAACAGAGAGAAGGGTAAGGGGTGACTTGATCACAGACTATACGTATCTACATGGGGAACAAACACTTAATCGTGGGCTCTTCCATCTAGTAGAGGAAGCTCTAAAATGAGCCAACAGCTGGAAGCTGAAGCTAGGCAAGCTCAGACTGGAAATAAGGTGTACCTTTTGAACAGAGAGAGTCATTAACCACTGGGATGATTTACCAAGAGGCGTGGTAGATTCTCCATCGCTGGCAGTTTTTAAATCAAGATGGGATGTTATTCCAAAAGATCTGCCCTAGCAATGACTTTGGGGCAGTCCTCTGGCCTGGGTTATCCAGGAGGGCAGACTAGACAATCACAGTGGTCCCTTCTGGCCTGGGAATCTATGAAATACTCCACTACCCTCTCTTGCGGGGCAAGCACAGGGGTGTGAGGAGGTTGCGCTCTATATATGGGCTGTGTGTGATTAGCCCCAGTATCTAGGCCACATTCCCCTCCACGCAGCTTCAGTTGGATATAGTATTCCTCTTACTGCCCCTAACTACTACAGTGTTGCAGGGCAGGTGTCAAAACCGCATACAGCAACCGTGCGCACAGCGGTCAGACTTCTGCCCTGTTTTACCCCAGAGGCAGCTGCATTTCAGCATGGGGAGCATGATCCCTGCGCGCTGTTGCTGTACGCGGTCAGGCTTCTGCCCTGTTTTACCCCAGAGGCAGCTGCATTTCAGAGCTCAGTGAGCAAACCCTATGCTGCATCCTCGTACGCTGTCCAGCTACTGCGTTCCACCCCAGAGGGGGCTGCATTTCAACACGGGGTGGGCAATGCCTGCGCAGCGTCACTATGCGCTGCCAAACAAGTGACTTGTTTCACTCCAAAGGTGGCTGCAGTTCAGCAGTGGCTGAAGCATGTGTGAAGCTGTGGGATCTTTCAGGATAGAAGGCGCCACAGAAATGCAAGACGTGATAGCCGACAGCACAGCAGCCTGTCTGCAGCGAAGGGGAATCCCGAACACCGACCCGCGTGCCCTGTTACCTTCACAAAGCGGCCGTACAGCATGCTCCTGGGACTGGGTGCTTTGCGGGGCTTCTTGTTGCTGATCTCCCCGTCCTGCTCAGAGAGCTTTTTCATTTGGACGCCATCCTGGGAGATTTAAACAGGCATCGTGTGATCAGCCAGGCCGGTAGTTAGTTTAATTACATGCTCCATATTTCACACTTACATACTGTTAATTGTAGAAGTGTAGGACTGGACAGGACCTCAAGAGGTCATCTAGTCCCGTCCCCTGCACTCACGGCAGGACTATGTAATAACCAGACGTTTCCTGACAGATGTTTGTATTCGTATCTGTATTACAGTAGTGCCTAGGAGCCCTGGCCCAGGGCCCCATGGTGCTAGGCGCTGTACAAACACAGAACAAAGGAACAGTCTCTGTCCCAAAGAGCTTCCAATCTAACCGGTGGATACACTCAGAATGGGGATGGGGGGGAGGGTAGAGCAAGCAGACGATAAGACAGTACCGATCAGTAAGATGGACACTGGCTGCCTAACAGTTCTGGAGTTTTTCTGCTAGCATCACGGCAAAGGAGAGTGATCAATCTCAACTCACTTTGCCAAGATGGCTCGGTAACATTGGCTCTGTTTTAGAGATTGCACGCCTCTGTTTCCCAGAGGGAGAACACCACGCCCGAGCCAGCACAGCAAATCAATGGCTGCAGCAAAAAGAGAAAGCCGGTGTCCTGCCACCCAGCCCAGCACCTTTCCACATGAGACCCTTGGACCAGGAGCAGAAAGGAAAGAAATAATCAACCATAATGTTTTTCCTGATCACTGGTCCAAGGATGGTCTTGTGGTTAAGATACAGGTGGAGCCTCCGGACTCCTGGGTTCTACACTCCCAGCTCTGGCACTGTGACCCTGGGCAAGTCACAGCACCGCTCTGTGCCTCAGTTTCCCCATCCTTAAAAAGGGGATGACTATACTGATCCTCCTTTGTAAAGCCCAGCATCTCGTCAGATCGGGCCCATGACACATGGTCCTTAAGAACTTATGTGACAGTCACCACCAGTATTGAACCAGGGATCTCCCAAGCGAAAATCGTGAGTCGTTAGAGATTTAGGTAAGGAGCCAAGCCCTGTAGCAGGGGCTGTAACAGACACCTAGCATCAGAGGACTGGGCACAGAGGGAGAGACACACTGAGCAGCGAGTTCCAGGAGCTCTATTCATTGCAGCTTTGGCCAGGGAAAACACCCAAAGCGCTTTTGGAGAAGTGAGCAGGGCTCGGCTTTGTTCTGGGAGGGCGTCTCCTGTACAGCCACATCTGTAGCCTGGCGTTGGCCGCTCTTTATCAATCCCATCTTGCTCTTAGCGCTTAGATCTAGATGTCCAGGCCTCCCTGATCCCCCCAACCTCTAATCTCCCCCTTTACCTGCCCAGCCTCCACTGAGATGTTCGCAGCTGACTTGTTGAAGAGGTGATCCCACCAATGGAAAGTGAACTGCTCTGCTGGGTCGTGACCCACCTGGTTTGGAAAAGAAAGGGTTAAAAAACCTGCCTTGCTCCCCATCAGGATCTGCTGATCCAACAGGGCCGCTCATGGCTGCCGGGATCCTTCTCAACCCAGTCAGGCTCTAGGTCCTCCTTTATTTATAAAGCAAAGAGCTTTTGCAAGTGTGGGACACTCAAGGATCTTGCAGCGTATGCGTGTGTAAGGGAGGGCCTTGGGCTGGCAATGGGGTGGGACAGCTCAGCCCAGGGGGAAGCGAGTTTAAAGCCAACCTCATCTGCTGGCCTAGCAGGGGCTGGGGGAGCGGTATCCGCTCTGGGTGGGGAGGCAGCAGAGAGAAGGAGCAGCTGATTCTCTTTTGCCAATCCAGAAGCAGCGCTGATGGAGCGGCATCAGGTCTGGCAAAGAGAGCCTTTGAAAGGTACAAATAAAGGAGGCCTTCATCATCCTCAATCTCCCCCACGCACACCAAAAGAAGTCTTGAAGGGGAGAAAAATAAGACAAGCCCACAATTTCAACAGCCCTGCCCCACTAGGAATTGAGCTGAGACCCATCAACCTCATTCCATACAGGCCCAAAGAGCAGCCAGGCGGTAAATGGGCAGGATCTAAATCAGCAACTCGGGGCGCCACAGCCTGTTCGCAGTCCCCTGAGTCGTCCAGCCCCAGAGCACTCCTCCTATGTATAAGGCGAAGGGGACGCTGCATTATACAGCCTAGGTGTACTGACGGTCAGTTTTGCTTGTATAGACCAGGTCTTCCTTACCCCAGCTGTGTCGCATTTCACTTTCACCTTGATGGCTTCAGAGATGCCATTCTCTCGCTTCCCCAGCCCTTTGCCTAGAGAGAGCACAGCAAGATAAATGCAGGACTTCCCTCACGTTAATGGCTCCTGGAGGGGTCGTAGGTGGGGATCAAACCCACAACCTCTTGATCCAAAAACACAAGCTCCAGCTTCTTAAGCTGAAAGACTAACCAGCAGCAGAACCATAAATCTCTTACATGGTTCAGGCACTAGAAGGGGACAAAGCTCCAACAGGCCCCTTGAAAAGAAAAGGAAAACCCAGTGCAGTCAAGAGACACAATATTGTGAGTACAAGAATCAACAGATTGGATCAGCACTGAGATCCTTCAAACCCAGTTTTCTATGCCCAACAGTGGCCAGCATCAGGTGCTTCAGAGGAGAGTGCAAGAAATCCTGCACTTTTGGGATAACCTGTTCCTGGGCAAGGTTTCCTCCTGACCCTCATAAATCAGGGATTGTCTTAAACTCTGAAGCATGAGGTTTAATATCCCTTCAAAAAATTATATCATTGACTTATTATAATTTTGGCCATTCTTATTGTCTACATACACACTCAATCCCTCATTGAATCTGGGCCTCGATGACATCTTGTGGCAAGGAGTTCTGCAGTCCAATGGCACGTTGTAAGAACAAGTTATTTGCATGTGTCAGTTTTGAACGTGCCACGTTTCAGTTGTATTGAGTGTCCCCGGTCCTTGTGTTGGGAGACAGGAAGCAAAGGAGCTCCTGATCCACCTCCTCCAGACCAACCATTATTTTGTGCACCTGATTTTTGGATGCATCAAGCCCGTACCTTGTTTCCAGCCGTGCCTCTGTAACTGCTGCTCCGCAAACTTCATCCCCACAGACTTGTTCTTGGGAGAGTCATTCATGATGGACTCAGGTTGCTATTCTAAAGCTTGATGCTACTTGAACCCTGCAGCTTCCAGGCCTCCCTGTGCATCAGTCTATTATAGGAAGATGGCGCATAATTACATGTGCTGAAATGACCATTTGCGCTGAGCAGCGCCCACTGCCCAGGGCAGTGTGGCCTACGGGACCGGCACTCAGGAAATCTGGGCTCTATTCCCAGTTCTGCCACTGGCCTACTGTGTGACCTTGGGCAAGTCATTTCACCTCTCTGTACCTCAGTTTCCCCACCTGTAAAATGGGGACAAAGACACTGACCTCCTTTGTAATGGGTTCTTTGCAAGAAACCAGAAGGGAAACACCTGTCCCACCCAGTGTCCCCCATCCCATGTGAACAGTTGGCCACAGCCCAGCAAAACTGATCTGTCCTATTCTGAATGGGAGATCAAGTCCAGGGAAAGCAGGACATGGGGAGCCAGGTAAAAGCACCCAACCCTTTGAATTCCCTCCTCATCCCCCTCCCTCCAGCTCCCTATATACACCCACCAGCTCTCCATCCCCAAGGATGGCAGCTCCCCAGCCGCCCCCGGATTCCCATCCAACCCCCCACCCCCGAGATCACCACCCAGCCGCCCACCCTCAGCTCTTCAGCTCCCCATCCCGCCCCCTTCAGCTCCCCCAATTCCCATCCAGCCCCCGACCTTCATCTCTCCAGCTCCCCATCCAGCCCCCCCACCAATGCCCATCTAGCCCCCCAGCTCCACATCCAGCCCCCCACCAATCCCCATCCAGCCCCGCACCTTCATCTCTCCAGCCCCCCAGCCAGCCCCCCCCTCAGTTCTCCAGCCCCCACAATCCCCATCCAGCCCCACACCTTCATCTCTCCAACCCCCCAGCCAACCCCCCAATCCTCATCCAGCCCCCCACCTTCATCTCTCCAGCCCCCTTCAACTCTCCAGCCCCCCCACCCTCAGTTCTCCAGCCCCCCACCTTCATCTCTCCAGCCCCCTTCATCTCTCCAGCCCCCCAGCCAGCCCCCCACCCTCAGTTCTCCAGCCCCCCCCAATCCTCATCCAGCCCCCCACCTTCATCTCTCCAGCCCCCTTCAGCTCTCCAGGGCCCCCCGATCCCCCGCGAGGTCTCCGCCCCCCTCGGCTCCCCACATGCAGCCACTCACGGTTACAGCGGACTCCTTCCCCGCAACCACATGTCCGGCTTCTGCAGGGAGGCCGCCATCTTCCCGGAAGTAAAACCTTCCCCCTCCGCGGCGTTCTAGGTTTGCGATGAACCACAGAGGAGAAATGGGCCCTAGTGTCTCAACCATAGAGTTTGGATCCTCCAGGGATCTTGCCCTGCGAAACGCCTTCCCCCCGCGCATCCCTCGTTGCCACTGGGTCATGGATCCCATTGCCCCAGCTCCTCTGGTCCCAGTGCAACTAGCCACGGGGGGAAATTTCCCATAAAACACTGAGGGAAAACTGGTGTCCTCCCCCCCGCCTCCCCCCAAAACCCCTTTATTGTTGTTTCACTCGGATTGGTTTGGTTTTTGCAGCGTAAAACCAAAATACAAAACAAATCAACCTACACCATCCTCCCCCAAAGCCTGGCTCGGCTTTGTTTTGTTTTCCCTTTTGCCAGTGGCAAAGGAGTGTGTGTGTGTGTGGGGGGGGGGGGTGTTCCATAGGCAATTTTGGAAGAAAGGTTAAAAAAAAATGTCCCAAGTGGCATTTGGCTGAGTGCAACAAGGAGGCCGAGATGCCTGGGTTTTCCAGGGAGCCAAATCCGCTTGCATGTAGCTGCTTCCTTAGACTGGAAGCTGAGGCAGGGCCTGGTGTTGTTCTGTGGTTGTGGTCCACGAGCAATGCTGCAATACGGATACTGTGAAGCTGCGGCTTATCCCCCGCCACCGTCTCCTCTCTCCTCACCGACCCGCCCCATCCCCACTCAACCTCTCTAGAATCAAGCGACCTTCCCGTCTGAGTTATTCTGTCACCTTGCCTGTTATTGCTTTGCCTTTGAAAGGTTGGAGGAGGGCACAATTTTAAAGGGACACGCAATAACATGACAACACCACAACAAAGAGCTCGGATGGCTGCCGAGGGGGGCTGACAGAGAAATGCCTCCCTCCTTGCAATCACTGTATGCCACAAAGGCATTGCTATTGCAGCACAAAACCCCCAGCACTGGATTGCATCACCCAGAGACAGACCCTGTCAGAAAGCTTTCTGTTACCGTGGCAACCGTCACATGGCACTTGGCCCCTGTCAGCCGGAGGATGTTTGTTTCTTCATGCGACTGTACACAAAAAAAGATGGCCAGGTTCCACCCCCCACCCAGCGTAAATCAGCCTAGCTGCATTGGAATTAATGGACCAGATTTGCTCCCCACCCCCGGTGTAAGTCAATGTCACTTGACTGTTGGCTGATTTACACCAACTGTGGATTTGGCCCCAGATTCCAAATGCTACCTTAATCAAAGGCAGGAGGAACTGGTGTCCACCCCACCCTCCCAAGCTAACCACCCTTCCTGTTGTAGCGTACATCCTGATGGTAAAAGTCATATCAGTCATGTAGGGAGAGATCCTCAGTTGGTGTAAATTGTCATAGCCCCCTTAATTTCAATGGAGTGATGCTGATTTACACCTTTTGGGACTCTGGCCCATTTGATGCCCATTTACACCAGCGTGGGATCTGGCCCATTGACACCATGAGAATTTCTGCCTCTCTCTGAGACTTTCATGGTCTAGAGCATCTCATTCTAATTTTGAGCTGGATTAAAGAATTAGGTCGCACTCCATCCACAGAGCACTAATCTCAGCAGAGCGCTTTATGAAAGGTGCTAACTCATCGTGGGCCCTGGAGCACTTAGGGGCATCACATTACAGGAGAGTGAACAATGATTTGGCCTTCACCCCAGCCTGGTCCACCCAGCCACCGAGGGGCCAGGATGGCATGCAGCCCACCTGCAAGGAGTACTTCGGGGGGTGCGGGGGAGAGTCCCCACATCTGAGCCACTTAAAGGAACATGGGAGACTATTGTGGGGGTGGACACAGATGCCTCCCCCCCACACAGTATTTCCATTGCAGGGATGCTAGCCCTCCCCTGCTCCAGTCCAGCCATCCCTGCCCCATCCAACATTTCAATGAGAAATAGGTCCCCTTTAGAGGACTCGGAATAAGGTGATATAACAGGAGACCAATAAGACCCCACCAGCCCTGGGAGAATTACCTACCCCTGCCCTCCATCCCCCTCATTATGAGCTGTGAAAACGACAATGCCACACTAAGAGCATTGCTTACAAAATACTTGGCTGCTGCTGGGCTGAGACCCCCAGCATCTCTTGCTGACCAGTACTGCCTCGCCGTTTCCTTGTGCTCCCTCATTGAGCTGCCTTTATCCAGCTGTTGTCTCTTGTCTCATACTTAAACTGGAAGCTCTTTCAGACAGGGACTTGTTCTGTGTTTATATCTGGCATCATGGGATCCTGCTGCATGACTGGGGCTCCGAAGCACGACCATAATAGAAACGATAACTCATAACAATGCAACAATTCAGCTATTTTGGCTCCCTATTGCAAAAAGACTGTACTAAAAAATGGAATTAAACTAATACTAGTGTGATATTCTTCATTAATGGCATTGGTAGGGTCTGCTAAATCCCCTTGGATCTTCTGAGGCCCTAACTAGCATCCTTTGCATGTTTAATTATCACACCCTGCACTTTTCTAGTGTCTTCCCTTTACTTTTGTAATTGTAATGCGTAGCTCTTCTCATATGTAGATCTCCAAGTGCTTTACCGAGGAGGTTGGTATCCTTAGCCCCATTTTACAGCTTGGGACACTGAGACACAGCAAGGTGAAGCCATTTGCTCAAGTTCACCCTGTGAATCCGCATCGGCACCAGGAATGAACCCAACGGTCCTGCCGGCAGCTCCAGCACTTTGACCCATCTGCCCTGCAATAAAAGGCAAAACTGAAAGACGACTCCAGATTGCTTGCTGGCTGTGTTGTGTGTCAGAGAATCCTCTAAAGGCAATTCAGCATCATGGCTGGGCTACCGGCAGGGTAACAAGAAATACAGAAACTATGCCAGCACAGACCAACTAGAGCTTTCTCTCTAGTCCAGAACAATCTAGGATAGGTCATTCAGAACAACACTGCTAATCCAGTCAGAAAAAGCCATCTAGAACAGTCCACCTAGCCTAGTACTGTTCTCCTTCTAGTTTGGAGCAGCCTAGAACAAGGCCACTTAGAATCACCCTTCAAGTCTGGGGCAGTCTAGAATGGGCATCTAGAACAATTCGTCTCATCCAGGTGAACTAGTCCAGAAAATACTATCTAGAATGTGTAGTCTAGATTAGTCCATCCGGTCTAGCCGAGAACAGACCATCTAGACTGGTCCATTTCATCTCTTGTCCTGAACCTAACCCCAGCCAATGCTGGATGCTCCAGAAGCCCGTGAAGTACCCACAAGGTTGTACATATTCCCCCATCCTCCCAGTGTCCCATGGCAACATGGCCAGGAACCCAACCCAATCTGGCAGTCTGCCACCCACGAGCAGGAGCCACCTGACTAGCAGAGTCAGAGTCTGACACAGAGGGACGCAAAGGTGGTTGCCAAGAGAAGGGAATACACACACACACACACACACACACACACACCTCCCTATCCCTTACCGCCAAGCTATGTTAATGAGATGGTCTCACTTCTATTTCACTGGGCCCTCAAGGCGCTCCATGAAGCCATTTCTTTCTCATAACGAGCAGGAAATGAGCTCTCAGGCTAACGAGCCATGGGCAGAGCAAAAGGGGGAGCAGGTTGTTTTTTTATACTTCATTTATTTAAGCTGTCCACTGACTCTTCCACACTTGTTTGGGTGTCATGGTGACAGCTGCCATGAACACTAGTGAAAACCACTAATGAGCTGCTAATATCCTGGACGCTAATTAAACCCCTTTGGTTTAATTGGACAGTAGCTATCAGCCCAAAGCAGGGTTTGTGGAGGCTTGGAGAGAGGGGATTTTGTGGGCAAAGCTCAGAGCTCTGTGCTGGCGAGGGGACCTCAAGCACCCCAAAGGGGTCAGGGTCACCCGTCAAGTTCACAGATGGGTTGGATTCCCATCCCTTCCAAAACTGGGGGTTCAGGCTCAGCAGCTAATTGAACTTCACAGCCATCCCCCAGCAAGTCACAGGCAGAGCTAGGAAGAGAACCCAGGCATCCTGACCCCCAGCCTCCATCCAGTAGATGACACTCCCTCCTGCCACAGCCAGGATTCTTGGGTTCTATTCCTAGTTCAGGGAGGGGAATATAGCCTAGTGGCTAGAGCAGGGGACTGGCAGTCAAGACTCATTCAGTCTATTTCCACCTCTGACACTGGCTTGCTGCATGACCTTGGACAAATCACACCGCTGCTCTGTGCCTCAGTTTCCCCACCTGTGAAATGGGAAACACTTTGGAATGGGGGTGGGGAACCTTCCATTAACAATAGCAAACCCTGCTAATCCTTTGGTAAAACCAGCTGCATAATTACTTCTAAACAAATTTCTTCTCCAAAGCCCTCTCCCCCCCCACCCACCCTTTCACCTTTTAAGAAATACAAGCTCACTCATTTGCCACTGGGGATTGAATGAAGCAGAACCAATGCACTCAGGCCCTATTGCTAAGAGACAACTCTCTGGAGCACAGAAGAATCTCTGGGCTGAGATATAGTGACTGCCATCCAATTGCTTCTTTTCTTTCCATCATGCAAGTGACTCAGGATTCGGATGCACGACAGGGTTAGCAACTTATCCCTGGGGAACGGCAAAATAATATAGTGAAATAGAAGCTGAGATGTTTAAAGGGACATTTTCCTTAGAACAGGCTAAAATCGGACCTGCTTGCTTTTCCCACCTGTTTACAAAGTTCTTGTAAATCTTGTGTGTGTGCATGTGTGTGTGGAGAAAGGCTGTTTAAAGCAAATGCTTTGAAGTTGGTTTTCATAATGAAAAATAATGGTCGCAGTCCCTCCGCTCATTATCAGCAGCCCTACCATAAACAAACCAGCGCACGCACCTCAGTCTTCATGAGCGATTCCACAACAACCAATTAGCCTGCGCTATTCAGCCACCCTGAGCAGCCCTACCATAACAAACTCACGTCATTGTCTGACGCCGACAAGCAACCGTACACTGAACAAAACTCATGCATGCACCCCAGGGCTCGCTAACAACCCTACAATAACAAGCCAGTAAGAACAGCAATTTTCACCCACTTTCAGGCCTCTTTATGCTGCCAGAGTGGGGCAAAAGGCCTTCGGGTAAATGAAAAGCAGGGGCAAAATTGCTACTCTAGCAGCATGTTTTCAGTTCAAGCCCAGGGGTGCTCCTAAGGCCTGGTCTATATTAGGGAACATCACTGAGGTTGATGAGTGACCCAGATGCAAACCCCTGGGGTTGATGTGCTGTGCTGGTGTGATGCCAGTCAGTGCGAGCCCTGATTTGCACTGGTGCAGCGTGTCATACCCCACATTTCAGCTGCCGTCTTGGCCAACACACCAGGGATTGAACCAGGGACCTGCAGAGCGAAAGGCCGCTGATGGTCCCAAGATGGGGCTGTAACAGATTAATCCGGCACAAATTGGGACTGTAACGCACACTCCCCAGTGGGGTGCATCGACATGACAGGCCAGAGCCTCCGTGGCATTTAGGTGTCTGACTTTCAATAGGAGTTAGGCACCTAAGTAGTTCTGGGCCCAGAGCCTCATTAGCGCTGAGGTGCCTTTGCGCTGGCAGTGTAAAGGGGGCCTGAACGTGGGTGTGACTCCCAGGGCCAGAGTAATGCAAAAGGGTCTTGGGGTAAATGAGAATCAGTGCCCATGGGATCCCCCCCAGACCCGAGTAACGGCACGGACGCTGTTACACTCCATGCATGTTTCTTCTAATGCAGGCGGAGCCTGAGCAGGGAGGTGGGACTTCGCTTCTATCAGGCACATTATCTGTCAAGGCCCTTTGCCGTGCAAGGGTCTCTCTGCCATCAGCTATCTGGGATTCCTGACTGCAGGACTTGATAAAGGGGCAATATTTTTAGACCACAAGGCTGGGTTTATCTCACTTGTCAGGCTGCTTTTATGTTGGTTCAGGAGGGGTTTTTTTTTTTCAGCCTGAGAAATGGCGCGACTCTGAACATCTGCCCTTCCCCGCCAGGAGCTCTGAGCACTCACACTCACAGAGCAGGTCATTGGTATTCTCCCGGAGTAGCAGCACCAGGAATGGAACCCAGGAGTTCCAGTTGCCCCCACCACTGTAATCACCAGATCATACTCTTTCCAGGGGTGAGCCCAGAGCCCAGGAGCCCTGGTGCTAAGTCCTACACCCTAACCACCAGAGCATCCTCCCCTTGCAGGCTTTAGAACCCAGGCATCCTGACACTCCGACCCCATTGCAACCACTAGACCCCCATTTCTCTCACAGACTTGAGAAACGACTCGAGGAATCCTGACCTCCTAGGCTTCTGCTGCACCCACTAGATCATGCTTCTCCCCCAGACCTGAACATAGAAGCCTGGACTCCTGGCTCTCACACACCTTCACCACTATGTCACACTCCCTTCCCAGAACTGGGACTAGAACCCAAGACTCCAGTTCACCATGATACAATTCTTCCTTGCTAGTGATCCAAAGCAAATCTTCTCCTTCTCCTACACTGGAGCCAGCAAAACTCAGAGGGTCCGATTCTCATTGACACTCAGCCCCAGTCGGCACACAGATTTGATCTCACTATAGCTATGTCAGTTAGGGGTGTAATTTTTCTACCGATACAGTTATCCCAGTATAACATCCAGTGTGAACCCCATTATATCAGATGCCTTATACCATTACAGTTTATTCTCCTTCCCAAACAGGTATAAGCACCTTTATATTGTTATAACTGGGTCCACACTGGGGGGAAGGGGTTGTACTGCTTTAACTAGGCCAGTGCAGTCAACTAGGTTTCCAGCGTAAAGGGGTCCAGAAGTAGGCACTTTCAGACCCCTTTATGCAGCCCAAGCGAGTGCAAAGGGGCCTTAGAATGCCTGAGAATCCAGCTAGGCCGAGGGAGGGGATTGTTTTGCTTGCCGACAGAGGCAGCGTTCAGATAGTCTATCCCCGAACTGCAGCCCTGACCCTCAGAATCCCTTGATCGCGACGGCATCTGCTGCAAGGGGGGGGTTGCAGAGAGAGATTTAATCCACTGCCTCAGGGTCTTTAAGCCATAGGCGCAAGCATTCCCCCCACCCAGAATCCTTTGCACATACAGGCGCCTCGCCCCTCGGAAGCACTGGGACAGCAACATGAGCTGGCCCGCAGGTCTCCTGAGTCCCGACCCAGGGGCGCTGGCCGTGAAACCCTCTGGAGCCTGGGCCGATCCAGAACACCACTGTGCAGAGGAGCAAGGAGGAGCAAGGAGAACAAGCCGAGCTATGGGAGGCAGCAGGCCAGCTCCTCAGCTGGCATAAAGGGGCCCAGCCCTGGCGATGCCCCACACCATTACACCAGTTGGCGCTGGCTGAGGATCTGATCTGATGCGCGAAGAGTTCCCTGGAGGAGGGATGTTTGCTCCTTCCCTGGCAAAGCGAACGCCCCGCTTTCCATGCTGGCTCGCAGGATCAGGCCCCTCTAATCCAACACCCCCCCCCACACACACACACACCTCTACCCCAGAAGTGCCCCAGCTACCAGGGAGGTGGGGTGGGGAGGGTGTCTCTTTTTGGGGAGGGGGAGGAAGGGGCTGCATCAGTGCTCAAGACGACATCACTCACGTGGATGACAAGCCCCCACCCCTGCCTCCCTCCCGCTCGCTGATGAAGACAGCTCCATCCCCTTCCCAAGGCTGCCACTCAAGCTGTCACCAAGGCCAGCCTATTCGGAGAGCAGTCCTGATATAAGATTCCCCCCGAGCTGCCTGGGGTTCGCCCACGCACACAAGGCAGCTGAGGCTCACAGCTCCCTCTCCCCGGGTGTCGGCTGGAGGGGGGCTGTGCAGGATTTTGGGAAGGGAGGGGTCAATCTTGTTTCTAGGCACCCAGAGTCCCCTTCTTCGTGAGCTGAGAGGGGCTGGGTGTTGAAGGTGCTGCAGCTTTTGGGGGCAACAAGGAACAAAATGAGATGGACACAGACCAGCCTGGTGGGTAAGTGGCTCTGAACTCTCTGTCTGATCAGCTCCACTTTGAGTCATCCTGACAGTGGAACAAACCTTCTAGCAAATTACAGGTGTGTGTGTGTGTAAGAGACAGAACATGTGTTGTGTGTGTGAGGCAGTCTCAGAGAGAGAGAGAGAACATGTATTGTGAGGCTGTGTGTGTAAGAGACAACACGTTGAGTGAGGCAGTCTGTGTATTTGTGTGTGTGTAAGACAGAACATGTACTGTGTGAGGCAGTGTGTGTATAAGAGACAGAACATGTGTTGTGTAAGGCAGTGTGTGTGTTTGTGAGACCTGGGTGAGATTCTGATCTCAGGTAACCCCCACTGTAACTCCACTGGCTTCCAGCGAAGTTCTTGATTTCCACCGGAGTGAGAAGCTAATCAGACCCCATGTGTGTACATGAGGGAGTGCGAGACAGCGTGTGTGTGTGAGACAGTGTCAGTCTGTGGGAGATGGTGAATGAGATTGTGTGCGTGCATATTTGTGGGATTGGGCTAATTCACATTTACACCAAAGCCCTTTTGCATGGCCCTGGCAGTATCCAAGGGCCTGAAAGCATGTGTCACTGTAATGTGTGCCCACTCTAAAGGCTCTTTGTGTTGCCAGGGCGGTGCAAAGGCAGTGTTGGTGTAAATGAGAATCAGGCCCATGGTTTGGGTTTGTGAGAGTGTCTGCAGATGCGTGCAGAGGAGGAGTGGGGAGAGGTAATAAGGAGGGAGAGAGATTGTGTGTAGTGTCTCTCTGTGTGAGTGTGCATAGAACCAAAGGTGTCTTCCCAGCTGTCTGGAAGATGAAGGACCTGATTCTCCCCTATCTGGCACCCTATGCAATCATTTACCCCCAGCGCCAAGGGCAAACGCTGTCCTTTCTGATTCAGTTGGATTTCACACTCACTTTGCACCAGTGTACGTGACTGCCCAAGGTGCAGGGTGGCAGTGAATTGGGTTAGCAAATGTCAGAGACCCCTCTCCTCTCTAACGGTGCTTTCATAGCTGTACACGGTCCAGGGCCAGGTTCTGATCTCAGAGGGTCCGTGTATGCAGCAATTAAACACCCGCACCTGGCCTGGGTCAGCTGACCTGAGCTCGCAGGGCTGTAAAATTACTGTGTAGACTTTCGGGGTTGGGCAGGAGCCAGAGCTCATGAGGCAGGAGGGTCCCAGAGCCCTTGCTCCAGCACGAGCTTGAATGTCTACAGAACAATTTTTAGCCTGGCAGCTCAACCCTGAGTCAGCTGCTCCAGGCCAGCTGCGGGTCTTTTATTCCAGTGTAAACGTACCCAGAGACTCCAGTATCAATTCCAGCTTGACACCGTGGACCACACTGGAGTTACTCTGGCTTTTACGCCGTGTCATTGAAACCGGGACCCAGAGCCGGAGTAGGACGTAATATTTGAGACCTGAACTCCCTCTCCATCCACCCACCCAGTTCTATCAGTTTTGCTCAGTTTCAACCCCCAGCCCCTCTGCTATTCCAGGCCTGGGCTCCCGCCACAATTCTGCCAACACAGACCAACCCTGACCTGGGAGTCCTGGAAACTACATGAGCCCTAGGCACCATGGAGCGGTTTTGTAATGTGGACGAGGAAGAGGTTTCCTAGCCATCAAAACCATTGTCACTTGAACCTCAGCCTGGACAAGTGGCGCAGTTGTTACCTCTCAAGCTGGTGTTGGGACCGTATAGAGAGTTGTGGCGGATTTGGTGTAAATCAGCATAGCTCTATTGACTTCAAGGGAGCTACACTGGTTTATACCAGCTGATGATTTGGCCTCATTTCAGAAATTGCCAGTGTTAATTAGGTCATTCATTATGGTATATTATTTGTATCACCATAGTGTCCAGCAGCTCCAGTGGTGGACCCGGACCCCACAGTGACAGGCATTGTACAAACCCAGAACAAAGAGACGGTCCTTGCCCCATCCCCCCACGCATCCACCAATCCCCCGAAATCTACCTGATAGAAAACCAATTATTTTGCAGTCTCTTGATCACCATCCCCTTTGCCAAGGAAGTTTAAAAACTAAATTATCCGTATGGATCTGACCTTGTGAGCACTGGGTATTTTGTCATTGACTTCAGCGGGGCCAGAATTCCCCCGCCCCGAACCAGAATAGATTGGATTTACTCTCAGTTTGCATTGGCATAAATGACAGAACAGGGGGCAGCACAGCGGAGAACCAGACCTCCCCCCCCCGGGTCTGGCATTGCTTCCCCTCCCCAGCCCTCTTCACACACTGCGCTTCACAACGGATGCTCCCCTCTGCTTAATCTGGGAATCCAGCACCTTGCAGCACTGATTGTCATTTGAACAATCCACCCAAGCCCTAATGCAGCACTCAGGTTAACACAGCTGCTTTCATTTTTTCTGTCAGATCTAGGAGACCCTAAAAGTTGCTAACTGGGACACTCTGAATTGGCCTGTGAGGCGCTTTCCAGATGGCCGGTGCTCACATGGGGTTTGACTTGTTGCTATGTCCTTTGATCTGTCCAGTCCTATCTCCCCCAGCTGCCTCCTCCTCTTCCACCCAACACTTAATAATTAAAGGCATTCCCCTCTCGTTGTCTCCAGGGCTGGAAACGAGCTGAGCTTTCAGCCCTGCATCCGTCGGGGCAACATCCTTGACTCTTTCATATTTCTTCGCTATCTGGCTCTGCTCTGTCTGCTAAGATAAAAATAAAATAACCTTTGAGATGGAGCCAGGACTGGCCAAGTTCCTTCTGCCAGCTGTCCCTATAACAACCATCATCCCTGGAATTTAACTAGTGCCTTTCCATGGGAAATCAAAGCCCTTCATAAAGGTGGGTGAGTATTATGACCCTTGCTTTACAGGTGGGGAAACTGAGGCAGCAACAGGCGGGAGGAAGTAGGGTGACCAGACAGCAAGTGTGAAAAATCAGGACCGGGGTGGGGGTTAATAGGACCTTATATAAGAAAAAGCCCCAAAAATTGGGACTGTCCCTATAAAATCGGGACTTCTGGTCACCCTAGGAGGAAGTGTCTCATCTAAGGGTATATACCAAGACACTGGCAGAACTGGGACTAGAACCCAGGCTCTCTGTCCTATTCTCACTAGTAGGCAACATTGCCTCCCAGAGTTTAGTGCAGAACCCATCAGTCCTGCAGCCTAATCCCCTGGTCTAACCACTAGGCCACACTCTTCAGGAGCTGGGAAGAAACCAGGGGTCCTGACTCTGACCTGTGTCTTAAACATAAGCCAACACTCCAGCTGCTGGGAATAGAACCCAGGAGTCCTGACAGACAGCCCATGAGACAATACAAACATCACTAAGTGGCCTATACGAGTTGAAGATGTTGGTCTGTGTTCTGGCAGGCAGGCGTACAGGAGAAACCAACCTGGCTCATCATCAGAAGATGGTACACAGCCTTGGCCTTCATAAAACTGGCGTCTCACTCGAATCTGATCATCGTTTGGTGGCCTGTGTGTAATGAGTTTGGTGGATCTCAGCCAGTTTCCAATGGACAAGTGCCTGCATCACCACAGTTGACATCCGCTGCTCCCTTCGTCATCAGCCCAGCAGAGAGGCCAAGGACTTTGTGGGCTGTAGAGGCTGAATGCCCCTTTCGCCAGCAGAATGGGGACTCCTCTAGGGCAGGATTTGGGTGTGGGGAGGTTTGTGACACACATATGGGGCTTGGGGAAACTAGCCCTGCTACTCCCTGTTCTGGGGCTAAAGAGAGGGATTCAGCTGTCTGGGTTTTGAATCCGGCACCTTGCCCTAGCCCCTAAAAACCAACCCCAGCTTGTTTATAAGGGAGGAAGAGAAGGAGGGGGCGAGGTGTTTTCTGAAGAACAAAGGAAGTAAAGACTTACATCAAGGACCAAGATACAGAAGCTTCTGTCACCAGGATGTCCCAAATGCCTGGAAGGAATAAGGGGCTCGACACCTAGCTGGTGTCAATCATCTTAGGGTCAGGACTAGAATCCAACAGCCCAGCCCACTGGACCAGCAGTTTGATTACCATTGTCCCTGCTACCTCTAACCACTAGACTAAACTCCCTGCGAGACCTGGGAACAAACCCTAATAGTCCTGGCTCCCAGTCCCCCCTCCAGCCACTAAATACTCCCCCAGAGTGAGGAAAGGAACCCAGGAGTCCTGACTTCCACAGTATCTCATAGACCATACTTCCATCCTATGTGGGGCATTTTTCCCTCTTTTTTGGGGTGTGTGTGTGTGTGTCAATTATTAAGTAAAGGAGAAATCTGTTCCATTAAATATTTTTTAAAAATTGGAGCCAAGCAGCTTCCATTTTCCTGTCCCTGCCTGGTGTTCAGTCCCTTAGCTCAGAACAACCAGTGAAATAGCTCACACCGATTTAGCATAAATGCCAGGGTTTGGCTGGGTTTTGGGGCAAAATGTAAAAGGCCCATCATCTGGGGTCCTTGTACTTCCGCCCGCAAAGACGGAGAGACCTAATCTAGCTCTTGAGTATTTCGCCTCCTCTCTTCAAACCAGGGCTGCCCCAGGCTGAGATCTCCAATCGCAAACGTTCTGGGTGAGCCCCGGCCCTCCATAGTGCCAAGAGGGACTTAGGGACCCAGAGTCCACCCACCCCCCCACCAACAAGAACCATTATCTCTCCACCCTAGGAAACTGGCCGCCAGGCAGCACAACAAGCCTGAGCAAGACAGGCGAGGCCATTTTGATTGTGGTGGTTGCCTTGGCAACGGGAGAAGGCCAAGGTCTCTGTGCAGAGAACGGCAGCATGTTCTTCCCTGGGTCCCAAATAAAGGGATCAAGAGGATTTGCTGATAACACTTCACTTCCTGTGTGCATGTGGGGTTCTCAATGATCAAAGAACAAACACCTCAGGGAGGGTCATTTGCAGCAACGATCCCAAACCGGAACCCCACATTCAAACTTGAGGGCACCCAGGAAACTGAGTCTAGATTTGCTGTTCCAATCCACAGAACAGATCTCGCCCATGCAGAATACTCCTAACCACGGGAATATTTGAAACCCGGGTGCTGTGATAGAGGGGCATCAGACTCTGTCTGGAGTAAGGGCTTGGATTTCTTCTCTAATAACAATTTTGTCCTTCGCTAGGACATTTCCTCTGAGGATCTCAACGCACTTATTCCCTCAGAGCCCATGAGGACGATCAAGGTGGACAAACTCTTAAGTAAGAATCTCGTAACTTCACCACCACTGGGAGGACGCCTGTAGCCCAGACCCTTTGCGAGGAGCTCCCACCTAGAGGGGATAGGAGCACTAGGAGCTGATTCTCACAGTAAAACCCCGTTAGGTCTATTTAGAAATTAATTTGCATGCATCTTACTGCTAGAGTGGTTTAAAAGGGGCCTTTGTAAAAATGAGACTAAAAGCCCAGGGTCTCCAGCTGTCTCCTTACCACCAGGCACTGGGAGACCCAAGAACCAGCTGCCTGGGTCAGAACCACTAATAAAAGCAGCCTTTGTGGAACACGGCTCCCATTCTCTGTGTCTCTTTCAGCTTCTCGTTAATGTGATGTCCCTGAGCCAAGTGACCCGGGGAGATCTTCGCAAGGGGAAGATGCTTCTCATTCCAGATCCTCGCAACGCTCGTTTCTGGGTCGGTCTGGAAGACTTGTGATTTTGTTGTTTCCGGTGTCAGGGAAGCGAACAACAAATCCCAGTCTCCTCACAGCCCCAGGACTGGCCTCCAAGAATCCATCCATGGTACCTTCCCTGGGACCAAGCAGCATGAGGAGGAGAGACGGTGAAACTATACTGTTCTTCCTTTACCAGTAGGAAAACACACAGCCACAATCTGATTGCCACAGAGATTCAGCCAACGATTGGATATTTATAGGACTAACCAGAGCAGCCCGCGTTATAACAGCAGGGGTTAAAAAAAACAAAGCAACTTAGAAGGACTATAAACTGTCCTGCTTCAGGCCACGAATCAACTTCTAACCAATATGGTCAGGAAGGGACTTTCCTGGGTTGGTGATTATCCTCCCACTGCAGGGTTTTCTGAAGCCTCTGGTGCTGACCATGGCTGGAGACAGGCTAGGTGGACCATGGGTCTGATTCAGCAATTCCTCTGACTTTCAGCACAGATCTAAGCTGGCCAACTGTGGAGTTCATGCATGGGAAGCCACATGGTTCAGGTAGATGAGAATGGCCTACGGAGCCTTTACATTAGGGGCCCAGGTCTGTAACGACTGAAAAGTCTGTCCCTTTCCAGAAACCATTTGAAACAAGCTGGAGGTTCAAATGGAAAGTTTTTAATTTAGGCTTGGGGGACCGGGAGGGGTGGGAGACCGGGGGAGAAGGAGGGAGGGCTGTCCTCCAAAAAAAGGGAGAAATGTGGGGAACTGAAAAAAACTAAACTAAACATTTCAGTTAAATACTGAAATAAAAGTCATTTACATCAGACAATTCCATCAAACATTTCGTATGAAACTGGATGGATTTCCCAGGAAATTTGTGTTTCATTCAGAAGGTTCTTTTGCTGAAAACACTTACCATTTTTTGATGCAACTTCTAGTTTTCAACCTCTCTTTGAAACAGCTGGAAATACGCTTATTTACATCAGCTGAGAATCCGGCTTCAGGCAACTGGATTAGTAGCATGATAGATCTGATCAGGTTTAGCAACCCTCGTGTTCCCAACACACAAACAACTTTAGGGAAATTCTCTTTGTATTAAGTATAATCAGGTTTAAGGGAATTAAATCTATTTACCTGAGTAAAGTCTGATGGGCACTAATAACAGAACTCAGGGCAGCAGGCAGCATTTTAGGATCTGCTCCTATGGGAAGGAAAAATACGAAGAACATAATTGTTCCTTTAAAGAAAGGCCCCTAGAATAGCACATTATTGAGTGTTAAGGCTGATCCTAACTCCCTTGAGTGGCTTAGGTCTTACTAAAAAGCTCCCTTCTTCAAAGCAGCCGCCTTGAAAGCATCAGCTAATTAAAGGTGAGGGCCACACTGGCTTCTCTAGAGAGAACAGGTGCAGCTGCTGTGTCTTAGAGACCTTGCCTGTTCTCAGACTGTCAGCAAGACCCAAATATAGAACACACGTGCTTAGCAATAGCTCTTGCTCCATTGATAAGCCATGCATTATACACGATCCCAGGGACTGGGAAGGGATCAGACTAGGATCCGTGCCTCTCTGCATCCTCTTCCCAGCTGTGGGATCCTGGGCTGGTAGTCTCTCTTAGGCTCAGTCTGGTCCCTAGTGCAAAAACATCCACGCCCTCAAGGAGCTCCTTTGTCGGGCAGGCTCAGCAGAGGACCAGGACGGAATGGACCACGGAACTGAAATCCCTTCTCATCTCAGAGCGGTCACGGGTAAGATACGCTGGCATGGCGGGAAACTTTCATTACCACTGCCTGGGCCATCCCTGCCCTGTGGGTAGAGGGACTGGTTCTCAGCTACACTCATGCATCAATAGGGCCTAAAAGTAGGGGAAAATTGGCCCAGAATCCCCCTGCACAGGGGTGCCTTCAGGGGTGGTAGAGGTGCTCTGCACCCTCCCTGTTCCAGGGTGCATTGCACTGCAGCTAGTTCTGCTTCCCAGAGACCATAGAGGACCAGAACATGTTAAGTTTCAAGGAGGGCCCTGCAGAGGCCATGAATCTGAGCGTGCAAAGGTGGCGTGACATAACCATCCTTCCCCTGCACTCTGTTCCTGCCCAAACACGCGAACAGAGAGTACAGCCCACACAGTCTCCAGGTCTCCTCCCCCACCCCAGCACCCGGACACGCCTGCGTTACTGTGCACCCCGGCTTAGACTGCTGCAAGCGCAGTCCAGCATGGAGGAAACCTGTTGGCCAGTCTCGACCGACCACGGCTGCCAAAGGCCAACCTTTGCGTTGCTGAAGGGCCAACACAAGCTTCAAGCCAAGTAACACAAACACACGGTGCAGTGGCAATGCTGTTGTACTGGACAAACAAAGGCACCTGCTGAGCAGCAGGAAGCGGAGCGCAGGGGATGGGAGCCTTGCCAAAGTAGCCACCAGAAAGTGGAAAGCTGGTAAACGAACACAGGACGCAAACAGGGGCTGCAAAGGGAGATAGCGAGCCGTCCTATTATCTGTATTTTAGCAGCTTGGATGCTGGGCCAGCAACGAGTGAGTGATGACTTCCTGCTGATGTGATGGCAGATTTTGCAGCCAGGGAGAGATGAGAGATTTGTGTTTTCTGCTTAAACCAGCAAAGAGCTATCAAGGACTACCTGGGCGGTAGAGATTGAACCCCTGGGAAAGTGGGACAGATCGCTGGCTTGGGACATAGGAGGGCTCTGTTAGAGAAAAATTCTACGAGCTCCAGCCTACAGCCGGTCAAAAAGTTGTCCTGTAGCAATGTTTTTTTGCCAGTGGAAAACAACAATTCTGTCCAAACAGAAGTGTGTGCAGGAAACATTTTCAATTAAATGTTTGAGGTTTTCCTAAAGAACGTTCAACCAAAACAGTTTTCAACCAAAACATTTCAACCAAAAATAATAGTCATTTTTGTCTAAATTATTCCATCCGAGGGGCGGTGGGGGGGGATAGACCTGTTTCCCAATCAGCTGTGCTATAGACACATGTGGTTTCTACACAGCTCGAGCCCCAGCTATGTCTCTGCTTACCAGAGACCACCCACCCTGCCCTGTAGCATTCAGAGACATCTGGTGGTCAAACAAAAAAAACCCCACAGAGTAAATATATTGCCCCCACTTCATTCCTAACTCGCTGGCCCCTCCACAGAATGCCCCACAAAGAACTCAATTTATCTGTCTAAAAATGATACAAAGCTAGGCTTGACCCTGCCAGAATTTGGATCTATGCTTACAGACGGCCTAGGGATTTCAGGACACCAAGACCTTAACCACTCAGATTCTAGACTACTGCAGCTGTACCAGGGCAAAACCCTTGTGTAGACACGATGTACATAAGTACAGCTTAGCGTGGTAAACTAGGGAGAGACCAAGACTGATGTTGGCAGCTGGACCAGGGACAATTAGGGCTTTTGGCTTTAACTGGATAAGCAAGTAGCAGAACCATCTGTTTAAAGAGATCAGCAGTGAAACACTTAAGAGCGCTGACAAGTAATCATTAGGCTTCAGAATCAACACCACCAATGGCGATGCACGGGGGCAGCTCACACCTCTGTTTCAGGCTGGCTGCAGAGGCTTAAGGCAATCTTTGGCTCTACAAAAATAGGGACTAATTTGTTTTTAAGAGCGGTCCATGTTTGGAGCAAGAGAGAGATTCTGCAGCACACACTTCCCTGCTTCTAATCACCCACCTGAAACTAGATGAATTTAAGTTCCCTCCAAACCCCCTTATCTCTCACCAAATTTATCTTGCCACCCCACTCTCCTTCCTCAAATCCTGCAGGCATATGCTCCTTTGCAACTGCTGGTTCAAACAGAGAGGATGTAAACCCCACGCTGAGTGATCAGAGCTCCCTGCAGGTAAAAGTCCTGACTTGCCCCAGGAAGTCTGCCCCATTCCTAGACTAGATCGTTGGCAGAGCAGAAAATCCCTCCAAGGACTGTGCAGACAGCCTTCCAAGCTAACGCATAGCTGCTAAGGGGGCTGATCAAAAGTATTATCAGAACCCTCCTATCCTCATCTTCCTGTGCATAATATCACCACCTTGCCTTTAATATAGAACTATTATCCATAGATCTCCAAGCTAATTTACACGTGGGGAAACCGAGGCAGAGGGGCTGAAGTGGTTTGCCCAAAGTCCCCCAGCAGGCCTTTGGCAGAGCCAGGATTAGAACCTAGGCCTCCTAAATCCCAGTCCACACTGCCTCCATATTACACATGCTGTGGCAAAAGAGGCAGCATTTCTGTCGCCATCACACCCACAACCTCCTTTTCCCTCTCTCCCAGCAGCCACTGCCCCAGCTACACTCTGACAAAAGGACGTAGGATGCTCTCATCAGACTAACGGAGATGGACTCGCCTGGAATGGTTTAATAGAAAAAAAGGAATCAGGAAAGCTCAGGATCACTCACCATCCTGCACCCCCCCAAAAGAGAGCTGACTTGATACACGTCCACCACCAAATACGAAGCCATGGGCAAGTGCCCGGGCTAACATCTGAACAGCTGGAGGCCAAGTCAACAGTCTGTGATTAATCACAACACAGCCCAGTGGGTTGCTTTGAGATCCTGAGGTGTATTCATCTGTGTATGGAACTGACCGACAACCCGTACTCTTCAGGATCACCTCAGCCCTGGAGGACGCTAGGCAAGAGAGGCACTCGTTGGGTGGTGGTTCTGCTTCCTACCAGAAGTTCTGACCCACAGCCCATTGAAGTCAGCGGCAAGAGTGCCGCTGGCCTTTGGTGAGCTTTGGATCCAGTCAATAGAGGGAGGTGGTAAAATTAAACCTGCTAGAGAGGAGATGCTGACAAGGTCTTTGTGCCTGTCCTACACACTCTCAAAACTAAGTACAGGGGAGGTTTCTAACAAGTCACCCCGGCATCTGACAT